ATACACTAAACAAATCAGAAGAGACCTGAAACCAAGACTATATTATTCCATTATTTTTTCTTTACAATTTTGGGATCTTGTTTTCTAACAAACAAATCAAAATATACACAGGATCTGGTGTATTGCTCTGTGTTCACCTGTCTGATTATATTCTCTTTTTAAAAAATTTTCTTATTAATAGTTTTTTGGTTTTGGGTCTCTTCTGATTAGTGTATTACAAAAATAAAATACAATGAAAGGATAGAATTTACTGTAAAAATGAAAATTTAAAGAGAAAAGGAGTATAGTCAGGTGAACAGAACAGAGCAATATATTATATCCTCAGTGTATTTTGGTCACTTTGTTAGAAAAAACTACATCTCAAATTATAAAGAAAGAAAAATATATATACAAAAATAAAATAAATTGAAATGACAGAATGTAACTAAAAATGAAAATCAATAAAGGCTTTAACAAAACAAAGGAATAAAAAATATGATCAGACAGGTGAAGAGAACAGAGCCATAAACTAGATTCTGGGAGTATTTTGGTCTGTTTGTTAGAAGAAACTTCATCCTAAAATTGTAAAGAAATTTATGTATATGCACTGCTCCTCCCTGGGGAAGAAGGGGGTCTTGCTAATTTTGCCCTTGCTGGGCCCCTGCTCGGGGAGCAGTCCCCACCCTGTGCTATGGTTCAATGTATATGGCAACCCTGAGCTGAAAGCCCACTCCTGGGGTCCCTGATTGTAGCTGGTTCCCCTATTCAGATGCCTGGAAACTCTGTTTCACTTAGGTACCCGGTCTTCTTGTGACCCCTGAGTCCTGAGTCCACACTGTCCTGCCTAGGATTTCACCTGGCTTTGCCAACTGAGTGCCTGATTTTGTGCTCTGCTGCTTTATCACTTTCTGGTAGCCAGCTTATGTAGGCTCCCTCCCCCCATGATTTAGCTTCCCATATATCTCCTGGGATTCACTTCTCCACACCTCTCACCTTGAAGAAAGTGGTTACTTTTTTATTGTAGAGTTGAAGCTATTCTGTTCTTAGATCTCTGGTTGAATTCACGGGTGTTCAGAATGATTTGATAGCTAGCTAGCTGAATTCCTGGGAGCAGACAAAACTAAGGTTTCATACTCCTAGGCCATCTAGGACCAAATGTCTATCTCCTTTTACAGACTTTGTTTTAAAGTCCGTTTTGTTCACTATGAGTATTGCTATTCTGGCTAAGCCAGTTTGCATGATAAATGTTTCTCCACCACCTCACTTTCAATCTGTGGATGACTTCAGTCTGAAATGAATCTCTTGTAGGTAGCATATAGATGGGTCCTGTTCTTTTTTTTTTTAATATTTTATATATTTTTAAGTAAAGTCTATGCCCAGCATGGAACTTGAACTCATGACCCCAAGATGAAGAGTCATATGCTCTACCATCTGAGCCAGTCAGGGAATGCTGGGTTTTGATTTTTCATCTAATCTTATACCCTATGTCTTTTGGAGCATTTTGTCCATTTCCATTCAAAGTACTTAGTGATATGTATTTATTGCATTTTGTTACTTATTTTGTGGTGGTGGTTTTTTTTCTTTTTTTGAGGTTCCAAATAAATTCCAGTTAGTTAAAATACTGTCTTAATATTAATTTCTGGTGTACAATTTACTGATTTAAGACTTGCATACAACACCTAGTGCTCATCTCAAGTACCCTCCTTAATCCCCATCACCTATTTTACCCATTATCCCATCCACCTCCCCTCTGGTAACCATCAATTTGTTATCTATAGTTAGGAGTCTGTTTCTTTGTTTGCCTCTTTTTTTCCCATATGCTCGTTTTTTTTTCTTTTCTTAAATTCCACATACTAATGAAATCATACGGTATTTCTTTCTCTGACTTATTTCACTTAGTATAATACTCTAGCTCTATCCATGTTGCAGATGCCAAGATTTTCTTCTTTTTCAGGGTTGAGTAATATTCTGTTGTGTATATATACCACTTCTCCTTTATCCATCCATCAATGGACACTTGCGTTGTTTCCATATTTTGGCTGTTTTAGATAATGCTTATATAAAAATTGGGGTGCGTTTATCCCTTTGAATTAGTATTTTTGTATTCTCAGATAAGTACCCAGTAGTGCAATTGCTAGATTGTAACAAAGTTCTATTTTTTTTTTAAGTTTCTGAGGAACTTCCATACTGTCTTCCAAAATGGCTATACCAATTTGTATTCCAACCAACAGTATAAGAGCGTTCCCCTTATACTTGCCATCCTCGCCAACATCTGCTGTTGCTTGTGTTGTATTATTAGCCATTCTGATTGGTGTGAGGTGGTATCTCATTGTAGTTTTGATTTGTATTTCCTTGATTTTGAGTGATGTTGAGCATCTTTTCATGTGTCTGTTGGCCATCTGCATATCTTCTTTGGAAAAATGTGTTTTAATTGGATTATTCAGTTTTTGGTTGTTGAGTTTTATAAGATCTTTATGTATTTTGGATACTAGCCTTTTATCAGATATGTCATTTGCAAATATTTTCTCCCATTCTGTTGGCTGCCTTTCAGTTTTCTTGATTTTTTTTTTTCCTTCTCTGTGATGTAGTACCAGTAATTTATTTTTACTTTTGTTTCCCTTGCCTCAGGAGACCTATCTATCTAGTAAGAAATTACTATGGCCAATGTCACAAAGGTTATCGCTTGTATTCTCCTCTAGGATTTTAATAGTTTCTGTAGGTTGTTTTCTGATCTTTCAATTTATTTTTTAAGATTTTATTTATTCATTTGACAGAGAGAGCACAAGCAGGGGGAGAGGCAGGCAGAGGGAGAAGGAGAAGCAGACTGCCTGCTGAGCAGGGAGCCCAATGTGGGGCTCGATCCCAGGACCCTGGGATCATGACCTGAGCCAAAGGCAGATGTTTAACCTACTGAGCCACCCATGTACCCCTAGATTTTTGTTTTCTTTACTATATACTTGGGTTCTTTACTCTTTGTTTTTCATATCTATTAATGCATTTTTAATTGTGATTACCGTTCGGTTTATATACTCCATCTTTTGCATATAGCAGTCTACATTATGCTGATGGTTGCTTATTGTTGAACTCATTGTTTACTCCTGTCCACTCCAGTTTTGAGATACTTGGTATCATATTTTACATCCTTTCATTTTATGAATACCATGACTGATTTTTATAGAAATAGTTATTTTTAAAATATTTTATTTATTTATTTGACACAGAGAGAAAGACGGAGTAGCAGAGGGGGAGAGCAAGAAGCAGATTCCGTGCTGAGCTAGGACCCGAGGATCATGACCTGTGCCTAAGGCAGACGCTTAACCAACTGAGCCACCTAGGCATTGCCAGAAATAATTATTTTTACTGCTCTTATGTTTTTTACTTTTTATGCTCTTACATATGGCCTTTCCTTTTTTTTTTTTTTTTTTTTAATAAAAGATTTATTCAACTTGGGGTTGGATCCCTTGACCCCTGAGATCATGATCTGTGCTGAAACCAAGAGTTGGTCACTCAACCTACTGAGCCACCCAGGGTCCCCTGGTCTTTCTTTTTCACTCAGTCACCTTTAGTATTTAGTAGTTTAGTAGACAAACTTTAGTTTTTCTTTTTCTGAGAAACTCTTTATGTAGCCTTCTATTCTGAATGATAGTCTTGTTGAATAGAATATTTTGGGCTACAGATTTTTACCTTTCAGCACCTTGAATGTATCATGCCACTGTCTTCTAGCCTGCCAGGTTTCTCCTGAAAAATGAGCTGATAGCTTTTTGGGGTTTTCTTTGTATGTAAATGTCTGCATTTTTCTTTCAAACTTTAAAATCCCTTTATCACTATTTTTTTTTTTTTTTTTTTTTTTTTTACAATTTTAAGTACTATGTGTTTTGGTGTGGACTTGATTGAATTGAATTTCATGGGGAATCCCTGTGCTTACCAAATTTGGATTTCTGTTTCCCTCCCTGGATAAAGGGTATTTTTAGCTCTTTCTTCAAATATATTTTCTACCCCAGTTTTTCTCTCCTCAGATCCCTATAATGTGAATGTGACTATGCTTGATAGTCAATGAGTTCTCGTAAGTCTAGTCTCATTATGCAGTGTTTTGTTTTGTTTTTTACTTAATCTGTTCAAGTTGATTGCTTTCCATTACTCTATCCTCCAGGTCACTGATATGTTCCTCTGCTTCCTGTAACATACTGTTTATTCCATATACTGTATTTTTAATTTCATTTATTGAGTTCTCTTTGTTAAGGGTCTCACTGATGTCTTCTATTCTTAAGTCTGGTGTGTATCTCTATTATTATTACTTTAAATTCTCTATCAGGCACATACTTACTTATCTTTCTTGTTGTTCTCCTGTGATTTTATAGTGATCTCTCATTTTGACAAATTTCTCTGTCTCCTACTTTTGTCTGTGTCTATTTCTATGTGTTAGGAAAGTCCGTTACATCCTCTGCTATTGAATGAAGTGACTTTATGAAGAGTTCCTGTAGTGCCATGTCCCTGGTTCACCAGAACCTTGCATTTAGGGGAGTCTCCTTGTGGGTTTTGCTTGCATTGTGCTGTTGTACTGAGTAGCTTTCTCTTTTATTCCAAATGTGTGCATAAACTTTTCGCCTGTTGTGCGTTATGCTTGCTCTCTGTGGTGTCAACCTCTCCAATGCAACTTCTAAACATTTAGTTGTGGAGTTTGTTCTGTAATCTTTGGATCATTCTCCAGTTTATTAAGTTGGATGTGAGTGATGTGATACCTTGTTGTAAATCTGGAATGGGGTAAGGTTACAGTCCTCCTACAACACCATATCAGTCCTAGAAGAACACCCCTTATTGTATCACATTATAATGTTTTGTTTGTTTTTCTACAGTGTCGAGAATCATTCAGTGTTTAATTTCTCCACCTAAATCTAAAAATCATGGCCTTGAGTCATTATTTTATCAGTAGGTGAACTTTTGCTCTAATTAAGTAAAATTACTCTTAATATGGAATTTCTTTTAAACAAGAGTTTTCTAAATCAACCATTTTAAATTCTTAATTTAAAAGAAAATGTAGGATGCATATTAGATCCTTTTCCTTTACTTAGAAATTATAGTGATTAATTTGATGTCATAGCAGTCACCAGATGATTTGTATATGTGCTATAGTGTAAAGATAGAACTGCAAAGCAATTTGAATATTTAAGTTATATTGCAAAGGTAATGACAGTGTTAAACGTAGAGTTACTGAAATCAATAAACACATAGATACAGAAAAATAAGTAATACACATTTTAATTTTTTTTAAAGATTTTATTTATTTATTTGCGAGAGAGAGAATGAGAGACAGCATGAGAAGGAGGAAGGTCAGAGGGAGAAGCAGACTCCCTGCCGAGCAGGGAGCCTGATGCGGGACTCGATCCCGGGACTCCAGGATCATGACCTGAGCTGAAAGCAGACGCTTAACCAACTGAGCCACCCAGGTGCCCCACATTTTAATTTTTTCAATTTATTCAAATATGTATTCAATTTTTGTAATTTATTTTACAGCTTGTAGTTATGTTTTTTCTCAAGCTTTATAAAATTCAGTTTTATTCCACATATACATATATAGAGAGAAAGAGCATGAGTGAGCTTTTGAAAAATTAGCAAATATGTCATTTTTGACATTTTTTTTTTTAAGTTTTTATTTATTTGAGACAGAGAGAATGAGAGACAGAGAGCATGAGAGTGAGGAGGGTCAGAGGGAGAAGCAGACTCCTCGCCGAGCAGGAAGCCCGATGCGGGACTCGATCCCGGGACTCCAGGATCATGACCTGAGCCGAAGGCAGTCGCCCAACCAACTGAGCCACCCAGGCGCCCAATTTTTGACATTTTTTGAAGGTTGAAAATAATAACATGTTCCCATAATTCACTGTAAATATTAGTACCCAAAGAATAGGACTGTTACCATGAATATTGTTTTTTTTAATTTTTTATTTAAATTCAATTTAATTAGCATATACTGTATTATTAGTTTCAGAGGTAGAATTTTGTGATTCATCAGTTGCATATAATGCCCCATGCTCATTTCATCAAGTGCCATCCTTAATGCCCATCACCCAGTTACACCATCCTCCCATCCACCTTCCCTTCAGCAACCAAATTTAACTGTCACTCTATTATTTTTACATACTTTGTTCTATAGCTTTGCAAGTCTCTTGTGATACAGGTACTTTACTTTTATTCCATCCATAGATATGTCTTAGTTTATTCAGCATTAAAGTAAGGACAAATAATGTGTTTATCTCAAAAAATTCATGAATATGTAATTGATTATTATACACAAAGAGCTAAGAAGAGGTCTTGGCTATCCCAGTGCTCTTTTTCTAACTATTTATACTTGTAATGTAGGTTATTCAGGTAGGATCTGGTTTATCTCATTTTAAGTCTTTGGTCCATAACTTTAATGCTGTAATCCCATATACTCATGAGTAATACTTGGTTGCTGCCACTGAATATATATTTAGTATATCCATTTTCATTAAGTTACTTTATAAATTAATTGATTATACAGTCAGATTTTTTGGTAACAGAAGCCCAGTTAAGAAGCAGTTCCATATGTAGCAAGTATAGTGTTAGCTTCTTATTTTATGGCCAGAGATTCATTATTGTAGAGGTCAGTTACTAGGTCCAAAACTCTACCTGGTTATATCTATATCTATATATCTATATCTATATCTATATCTATATCTATATCTATATCTATATCTATATCTATATCTATATCTATATCTATATCTATATCTATATCTATATCTATATCTATCTATCTATCTATCTATCTATCTAGATATATATTTTAGAGAAAGAGAGTGTGAGCAGGAGGAGGGTCAGAGGGAGAGGGAGAGAGAGAAACTCAAGCTGACTCTCCACTGAGTGCAGAGCCCAACATGGGCTTGATCCCAGGACCCTGAGATCCTGACCTAATCTAAAATTAAGAGTCAGATACTCAACCAACTGAGCCACCACAGGGGCCTCTATCTGGTTATATTCTAAAAGTAGAAGAATGGGTCCCTCAAAGGTCAGCTGAAATTCTATCCCAATGTACTTACTGTCTGCTTTATAAAAAATAGAAAGGCTCATTATCAATTAGTTGTATGTTTTTAAAATTTGTATGCAACTTCCATCATAAAACAAACTCAATATAAAGAGTAATACATCATATGTTACTTGAAGACAGTAGGTTGCATGAATATTTTCATATGTTTAAGAAGAGTGAGTGCATTAGATTAGCAAATAAAAATGAATATAAAATATCAGAATTGAGTAAATGAGTTTGCTGTTAGTGATTCTGATGCCATTTTGCAATGGCAATTTGTTGAATTATTCTCTGAAAACAAGTTCTTTTTTTTAAAGATTTTTATTTATTTTTTGACAGAAAGAGACAGCAAGAGAGGGAACACAGCAGGGGGAGTGGGAGAGGGAGTAGCAGGCTTCCCACGGAGCAGGGAGCCCGATGCAGGGATTGATCCCAGGACCCTGGGATCATGACTTGAGCTGAAGGCAGACACTTAACGACTGAGCCACCCAGGCGCCCCTAAACTAGTTCATAAAAATAGTGGAGGATCTTATTTTGTTATTTTTTGTTTTTCTATGGTCTATAAGTTTTAGCAAGTGGCACCCAGAAAGGAGTGTTTAATTTCTTTTAGTTATAAACGATAGTACTTTCTCAGGTTTGTTTTAGAGTAGAAGTCACATAATATTCTACACTGAATGTGTAGTGCCTTCCCCTGCCATCTTTAGTCTGTTTGCATTTCATCTCACGTGTCTGGCCCCTTTCTTTGTGTTCATGGCTAGAAGATGCATGGAAGATTTTGATTAGGAAAAAGTGCAAGAAAACTTAGTCACTTCTTCATGGAAAATGATAGAGAAACAATTTCTAATGTAGATAAGTGATGAACAGTGGACAGCAAAGAATCTGGAGGTATATACATAAATTTATTTTGGTTAGCTTTTAAATGTAATTTTTTTATTCAAGTATAGTTAACATAACAGTGTTATTGTATCAGTTTCAGGTGTACAATATAGTGATTCAACAATTCTATACATTACTCAGTGCTCATCCCAGTAAGTGTACTCTTAATCCCCTTCAGCTATTTCACCATCCCCCTACCCACCTTCCCTCTGGTAACCATCCGTTCTCATATAAAGACTTTTTTTTCTTTTTGTCTCTTCCTTTGTTTTGGTTCTTAAATTCCACATATGAGTGAAATAATAATGATATTTGGTTAGCTTTTTAAAAAAACAACAATACCATTTCTTTGATTATTGTTTCCTGTTATCTTCTTCTTTACCTTTTGCTCTAGTTATATCATGTGTCTGGTAATCACCAAAGCAACATTTTTTGATATTAAGGTGAAAGAGTAGACAGAAGTATTAATGAAATTCAGTACAGCCCAGTACGTCAAATAAAAGGCTCTTTTCCAGGATAAGGATAGCATTATATTAATGAGAACATGTGTCAATACAGGCTATCTGGTTCCTCTAGGGTGACTCAGATATTTATATTTGGAGTAAATAGGTCACAGAAGAGTCTTGTTCTCAATAGATCTATTCCTCATATCTGTCACTGCAAAGGTAGGATGTACCTAATACTTTTCAGAGTTGAGGTTTTAAAATTGGCAATCATAACTGACACTAAGTTTATCTTAAGATTGAAAATCAAAAAAAGTAATTTATTACACATGAATGCACAATAATGCAATAGTACAGAAAATCAAGAACTTTCTAGGTTCATTAACAAATAGAAAATGCAAGAGAGTTATCTGCAATCATTGGAGGAAGTTGTTAGCCAAATGCAGAAAAATTAAGTTTGACCCATTTCTTTTTTTTTTTTTTAACATTTTATTTATTTATTTGACAGAGAGAGACTGAGAGAGGGAACACAAGCAGGGGGAGTGGGAGAGGGAGAAGCAGGCTTCCCGCCGAAGCAGGGAGCCTGATTTGGGGCTTGGTCCCAGGGCTCTGGGACCCTGACCTTAGCGGAAGGCAGATGCTTAACAACTGAGCCACCCAGGCGCCCCGACCCATTTCTTCTGGTATAGAACAGGAAGGATTTTACGTGAATCAGAGATTTAAATTAAAACTGAAGAAATTACAGAATTACAGAACATGGTGATTTTCTCTTTATCCTAGGAGTGAGGAAAATTTTATTCCTGATTATTTAAATTCTAGAATTGTTAAGAAAGAAAGTGATAAATTTGATAATGTTAAAATAACTTAATGGGCAAAGCAAACACCGAATCATAATTCAGGAAAGATACTTGTAATATAAGAATGCTGAAATACCCTAATATAGACAGATCCTAATAATCGGGAAGAAAACTACCAATAAAGTCTAAGGAAAACTCATAAAGAGATAGTCACAGAAGAAATGGAAATTGCTATTAATCATATGGAAGTATCCTTGGATTTGTTTATACTAAGTATAATTACAATTAACAATACAAACAGGATATAATAAGCGTCTCAACTATTAGATTTGCAGGAAGTCCAGACATTTGACAACATTCTCTTCAAGCTGAGGGGAGAGGAATCTGGCAAAATCATATGATGGTGGTATTGTAAAATGTAAAATTTCTATGGATAGGAATTAAGTGTTTAGTGAATTAATCTGTGGCAAATACATAATACATCATATAGTAATATGTAACCTTATAATGAATTGGTGAATACATGAAATTTACTATGGAATAATTTTTGAGATATAAGTATAAATAAGATAGTGTCAGGATATAGGAAGTGATGACAGCAAAATGATGTGTTTTTTTTTAAAGATTTAATTATTTGACAGACAGCAAGAGAGGGGACACAAGAAGGGGGAGTGGGAGAGGGAGGAGCAGGCCTCCCGCTGAGCAGGGAGCCTGATGGGGGGCTCAATCGCAGGACCCTGGGATCATGACCTGAGCCAAAGGCAGACGTTTAACGACTGAGCCACCCAGGTGTCCCTAAAATGATGTTTTGTTTTGTTTTTTTTAAGATTTTATTGATTTGAGAGAGAGAATTCGCGCATATGCACGCATGAGTGGGGGAGGGGCAGAGGGAGAAGACTCTCAAGTTTAAGCCAGGAGCCTCCTCCATCCTGGGGCTCCAGGATCATGACCTGAACCAGAGGCAGATGTTTAACCAACTGAGCCACCCAGTTGCCCCAAAATGATGTTTTTATCATCACAAATATGTAAATGGTCTTTGTTTCTGTTGCCTGGGTGGTATCTAAAAATAGTACAGGGCGTTCAACAGAATTTTGATAAATAGCTAATTCTCGCATTCAATGTCCTATGTAATAAATGGTGTTTTTATGGAATAAGTTAGAAATAAAAGGATGGGATAAATTTTGATTTAGGTAGGAATTCAAGGGATTCGTGGTTTTGTTAGTATCCTAGAGAAAAGAATAGGTACTCCTTTAAAAGTTGTGTAAGTGTAAAGGCAGTATTTGGTTTTTTTATACCAGAAATAATGAACATTTCTAAAATCCTGAGCTCTTCTTTCATTTTCCCTCAGACTGATTTAAGGTAGCTCTTGAAGGATTTGGTCAATATTGCAAACTCATAAGAGAGATCCCTGAGATTCTATGGGAAGATTTCACTTTATTATTTATTTTGATTTTTATTTAAATTTCAATTAACATACAGTGTAATATTAGTTTCAGGTGTACAGTATAATGATTGAACACTTACATACAACACCCAGTGCTCATCACAACTATGCAAAGATTGTAAAGAAGAGAGGTTATTTGAGGTTAATCCTGTGGGTCAGGCTGATTTGATGCCCTTTAGTGAAACAAAAGTTCATTTAGGCAAATAATTTAAGACCTATTTAGTACTCACGGCTCTGTTGATGTGGAAGTGGAAGTGAGTGTGGATAAGAAACAGATGTGTGGACATACATTGATAATGCAAAATGAACAGATTAATAGATGGACATAAGGGTGAATGATTTGATGGATATAGGCCTCAAAGAATATATAGGTAGGTGGATCCAGGAAGGGTTAATTCCTAAATCTCAGTTACTTTAAATTACAAAGATGTATTTCTTACAGAAACTGTTCAACAGGAATTTGTTAGGGGTCCTGGGTTCATGGCAGTCACTGATAGGCCAAATATCAGAAAGACCATGATTGTCGCCTGTCGCTACCATCACAACAGAAGATTTTATAGTTTATTCGTGGGGAGAGAACATGGAAAATTGCACAATAACTTGAGAAATAATTTTTTAGAAGTTTTGTCTTGGGCAAACCAAATCAATCACATAAATATCTGTAACCTAAGAGGGTTTACAAAGTATATTTCTTCCATGTCTTCAAAGGGAGAGTAGAAAGAACATACTAAGCAATAGTAATGTCTACCATAGGATACCTCTCTACCTTCAAATACTGAGTTTGCTTTCTACTTACACATTAAATTATGTGGCCTTCTCAGTGAGAACAAACAAAAAAGACTCACCTAGCTAAAAGTCCAGTATTTCTCAGTTGGGCACTGTTATCAGTACATGATTTGCACTGATTTGTGTGTCAGGTCTCATTTTGCCTACTCTTGATACAGAGACATAGGAACTTCATTTTTTTAAAGTATTTATTTTTATTTTTTTAAAGATTTTATTTATTTGTCAGAAAGAGTGAGAGACAGCACAAGCAGGGGGAGCAGCAGAGGCAGAGGGAGAAGCAGGCTTCCTGCTGAGCAGAGAGACCGCTGTGGGGCTTGATCCCAGGACCCCAGGTTCATGACCTGAGCCAAAGGCAGACGCTTAACTGACTGAGTCATCCAGGCAGCCTGAGACATAAGAACTTTATTTATTTATTTATTATTTTTTATTATTACATTAAATTAGCCAACATACAGTACATCATTAATTTTTGATGTAGTGTTCAACTATTTATTAGTTGCATATAACCCCCAGTGCTCATTACATCACATGCCCTCCCTAATACCCATCACCCAGTTAGCCCCTCCCTTCTGTAACCCTCAGTTTGTTTCCTGGAATCCAAAGTCTCTCATGGTTTGTCACCCTCTCTGATTTCTTTCCATTCAGCTTTCCCTCCCTTCCCTTTTGGTCCTCCACGCTATTCCTTATGTTCCACATATGAGTGAAACCCTATGATAATTGTCTGTCTCTGATTGATTTCACTTAGCATAATCTCCTCCAGTTCCATCCATGTTGATGCAAATGGAGGTATTCATCAGAAAGGAGACATAGGAACTTTACAAAAGAAGTTATTTGTAAATCACTTCCCAGTGTTTAATTATGGAGCAAGAACAAGGAAACCATAATAAAAGCTACAAAACATAAAGTGTACAATGAGAAATACATATACACTGGGAATATATTACATTATCTATTGTGATACCTTGGGGGTGGAGAATGTTTTACTAGGACTTGGGAGATGCTTACTTGTCCTGTGTTCTTCCTAACCCTAACTCAGCCTTCTGATGTATTGTTCCATTCCTATTATCCTGCTTAATTAATTTTAAGATACGCAGTGTAGAGAGGGAGCTACAGAACTTTTCTATTCATAGAGAGTGGGGGCCTAAAGTTCATTTTAAGTCTTAAATAATCACACATTTTTTAGTTCCTTGGGCAGTAAAACTCAGTCAAATTATGCCATGAGTAGCCCATATGTGATTCTCCTTCATCTCTTACTGGTGGTGATCATAGAACAATGTTTTGAATCAGAGGTGCCAGAAAGAGAATAGCCTGGAATAACAAAGTGTCATATGTAGTAATGCTATTTTGGGTATACGTTGAATCAGATCCACAGAATTTTCATGAGTAAGAAGTAAATGTTTGTTTTGTTAAGCCAGTGATATTTTGAAGCTGCTGTGATTTCAAACTCACTAATATAAATGGAAAAATTACATGTAAGAATTCAAGGATTGGTGGATGGATGCACAGAATGGAGGGTTGGATTGATGGTTTATAACTTGGTTATAGTGGTGGATAGATACAAGAAAGAATGTAAGGATGGTAAATGAAATTTCTGCATAATATGAGCTTACATGGATTTAAAAATTAGTGGATGAAAGAATGCAGATGGAGTATTTTAAAAGTCAGCTGTAAAGGTGGATATAAGGAACTACTGCTTTATGTAATTGAGGGTACAACAGTGGATGAATTAATGCAAAATTGGATGAGTGAAAGAATGGATGGAAACTAGAATATTAAGTGGATTGCTAGATGCAAGTATCAAGAATTAATGTTATGAAAAAAATGTTGGAGGTATGTATGGATTGGTGGAATGTTCAGTGAAGGTACAGTTCATCAGATACCTAATGTTAGAATTTGAGTGGATTCCAGAATGGATTGTTGGATGCATGCATCATCAACAGATAAATGGGTTTTTAGATTAATAGATGCAAGTATGGCTGGCTACAGTAATGGTGAATGTAGGGATTAATAAATTAATAAATGGTTTGTGTGAGTGTGATAGCATCATTGATGCTTTCAGGGTGGCTTAATAGATATACTGATTCATAGATGGTTTAATTCAAGAAGGGGTGGTACAGGAATTTTATTATTGGAAGAATAGACTAATAAAATAAAATCACATATATAAAGTTGAATGAAAAAAATGGAGGGACTGTTGAAGGATATAGGCCAATTTGTTATTTATAAAATTAGAAAAAATTTAATGATTGCTGTCACAAAGTGTTCTGATAGTAAATTAAAAGAAAGGGTGGGGGGTGAAACAGAACCAGAAAAAAGAAACCAAAAACCAAATATAGTGAGATTATGAGAGTAGTTTTCTATGATAGTGTTTTACATTTTAATAATATGGAGACTCTTAAGAGGTTGATCAAAGAGTCAACTTTACCTTCAGTATTTTATGTTGGTCATGGTATATATGACAATTTTCCCATATTTTCCACAGTTTTAACTGAGGTGTTAACCAGCTTAAGAAGTGAGACATATTAGATGCTTCAATACCTGACATTTCTATATCAATCCAAATTCTTGCGCTTGTTTCTCATTTCTGTGGACTTCGTTCTTCAAAAGTACTGGTAAGAATCAGTAACACCGGTGTACTATTTGTTTATTTTTTGTCCAGTTTGTTGTAGAATCAATTTGTAATATTTTAAGATTCCAAGCCATATATGAATTCCAAAAAAACAGTATTATCAAATTGTGGAAGTGATTGCCAATTAGATGGAATAGAATAGATTTAAAAAGCTATTAAATTTTGATGCAGTGTTGATACATAGATTGTGTAGATTTTCATTTACTACTTTTTATATACTCTTACCATAAAATGTGATGTTGTGCAGACAGAGACTATAATCTCTGTCAGCACACTCCATAAATGTTAAATTTATTTAAATATTAAATGTTTTTTTTTAAAGATTTTATTTATTTGAGAGAGAGAGTGCACGAGAGGGGGTAGGGTCAGAGGAAGAAGTAGACTCCCGACTGAGCGGGGAGACTGATGCGGGACTCGATCCTGGGATTCCAGGATCATGAACTGAGCTGAAGGCAGTTGCCTTACCAACTGAGCCACCAAGGGGCCCCTAAATATTAAATGCTTTGAAGCACATGCATTAGTGATGGATGGTTAAAGGGAGACTAAGAAGTCAGGCAGGTGGGGAAAAAAGTGAAAGGAGGATAAAAAGGCACTAGAAAGAAAAGCCATTAGGAAGTACAATTTGCTGCAAATAATATGGGTCTTAATGATAGCAGAAAGTTGATTTTTTTTCCAGATGCCTGATTTAGGGTATTGCTAATATTATCAGTGGGTAGATAAGGTAGATATACAGGCATTGTGGAATATTCCAGTATTAATGTAATGAAGTAGATTCTTAACACCCTTTCATTTGATGAATGAATGAAGATTTTTTTTTCAGATATTTTCAAGCTTCTCTCTCCCTTCCTTCCCTCCTTCCTCCCTTCCTCTCTCTCGCTTTCTTTCCTTCCTTCCTTTGTTCCTTCTTACCTCCCACCCTCACCCTCCCTCCCTCCCTCCCTCTTTCTTTCTTTTTCTTTCACAAGCATGTTTCATAAGCAAGGACCAAAGAGACTTTGTCTACAGGTAAGGACATTAAGACATATATTCTGATTTTTAAGAGTTTCTTTTTTGGCTATATTGATGGTTTGGACTTTTATTTGAGTAATTTGACACTAAATTTCTTTTTCATCAAACCTCTTATAAGGCCTACATGATTATTTTGAGGTTATAGTTTAACCTAGAGTTTTAGTGTTGTCACTTGTTTGTAAGCAACACTTAACGGTATAGAAGTTTTCTTCTAGTTAGGGCTGTCAAAAGCTGCACCATAAGCTTCTGGGAAAGCAGGGAGAATAGATATGTGGGTACTGTGATAATGGGTTTTGGTTTTTGGAAAGATTTCTATGAAACACTATGAAATTTACAGAGCACATTATTAGTATTTCCTTGTATCATTGGCTTTTATTTTTTAACCCTAGACTGGTATATAAATTAACACTAAGAAGTTACACAAGAAATGGTTGTTCAAAGAATGCATGTATGGATGGTTAAATGACATGAAAATTATTTGGAATATAAGATTGGTACTCAAATCATAGTAAATGGGCTGAGGAAGTAAAATTATGGTTTTGTCATTTTCCTACTGTAAATATACCTGTTTTTTGTAGATTGGAGATACTTAGTGTCTGGATCATGGGAATTGTTTTTCATGGATACCAGTAGAATACTTGACTTGAAGATGATATCCATCTGTCCCGATGCATGGCTTTGTGATAACTTGTTGTTTATTTGCATTTGCAATCTATCCCTTTGTACTATCCCAGGTGGTGAACATGTGTACAAGAGGATCATCGATACCTTCTGCGGTGGTACCATGCACAGAATAATGACCCAATTGCTGTCATTTATTTCCCCTTTTTGAAGCTCATTGCATCTTTATATCTCAAAAGGCACAAGTTTTATATATGTACCACCAGGAATAGAAGTGGTCTGCTTTTTGGCAAGTAACTGCCCAGAATGTTAAGTACTTTGTTCTCTGAATATATCTTATGCTTTACTCTATTGTTATTTACCTCATTGATTTTTTCTCTATGTTTTACTTTAGAAGTGGGAGTAAGATTTGTATGTGGTAAATGTAGTTAGTGCAATCCCATGGACACCTTGGTCATACTAAAGCATTATAACCAGGCTTTCTCACAAGCTGAGTACCTCCCACATGCCAATTGGATACTAATTGTAAAATACTTTGTTCCTCATTTGAATCATGAGCTCACAGTTTTTAGAGAGGTCCCAAACAAGATCTTCTTAAAACATTTGTGTTACCTGAAAATAGACCATTTGTAGTTTTCCTTTTTATGGAACCTAGTAGGTCTCCCTCTAGAACAGGATCTGAGCCTGAACATAGTTGATGTTTTCCTTAGTGTTCAAATTTAAGACTCAGATGCTACCACAATTCTGGTTATGTAAGGTAAAGCCAGATTCTTGCACTGACATTTATAGCCATGGTGTTGCCATCCTGTAGAACACACAGTTCTAACATTTTATTGCTATTACTAGAATTGGACCAAAAAACCCAAGCAACAAAGATATTTCACTTTCATTCACATTATCCTGATTTTCAATCGTTTTCTGTTTAACCTAAATGGGCTTAGTATAGATGGCTGTGTTTGTTGGAAGTTTTAATTGACCATTCTGGAACACAAACTGCACTGTCATCAGAGAACTACGAAGTGCATTGTCCAACCTGTCTCAATAGACAAGTTTGACCCCTAGTACATTGAATCAAGGCCATAAGGAATGAATGGGTTATTAAACAATTTAAAGCAAAATGTGGTCATTCATCCTCCCATCTTTCATTCCTACTTCCTAAGTGTGTCAAGAGTTAATCAGTTGTGCCAGTGGTCTATAACATTTCTAAGCTTATATAAATTATTTGGAATTTATTATATATAAATGGCATCATTAGGGTTTTACAACTGTATTTTTTCTTTAATATATTGTGGACCAATATATTTCTAAACCAATAAATGTAGCTTACCTAAAACTTTTCATTGGATGTAAAGTAGATATCATAATGGGTTTAGCCATTTCTCTATCTTGGGAAATGCAGATTAAATGTTTATTTATTTTTGTTGCTGCATAAAATGTTTTAATGTATATGTTTTATATATATGTTATAATATATATAATATATTAAAGCACTTGGGATTCTATTTCTGTAAGATAGATTTTTAGTTATGGCATTGTTGGATCAGCAGTTCTGCATACTTTTGATTTCAGTAGATATTGTGAAATTGCCAGCACACAGCTGTGGTGTAATGGCAGTGCATAATTTTCATAAAAACCTGTACAGGGTATATATTATCAATCCTTTAAATTTTTAACCAATCTAATAGGTGAAAACCATACTTTTAACTTAAGTATAATTTAAATAGTAAATGGCCATGGATTAAAAAAAAAAAAGACCAAAAGGGGTATATTATTTATTTAAGAAAGAAAAAAAAAAACAATAGTACACATTTCCTTCAATCACAAGAGTCATCCTGTTTGTTTAGAGGTAGAAACCATTGACCTTTTCTCTGTACAGTGCTTCTTGGAGGTACATAGACTTCTTTTTTTTTTTAAGATTTTATTTATTTGTCAGAGAGAGGGAGAGAACACAAGCAGGGGGAGCAGCAAGCAGAGGGAGAGGGAGAAGCAGGCTCCCCACTGAGCAGGGAGCCCTATTCGGGGCTGGATCAATCCCAGGATCCTGACCAGAGTTGATGTTTTCCTAAGTGCTCAAGTTTAAGACTCAGACTCAAGACCTGAGCAGAAGGCAGATGCTTAACCAACTGAGCCACCCAGGTGCCCCTGTACATAAACTTCTTAAGCATACCGTATACCAGTGTGTTTTTTGTTTTTGTTTTTTTTTACTTTTTATGTTTGAAATAATTTTAAATTTAGAGTGGCAAGAATCATATAGCGACCACCCTCAGACACTCTTACCCAGACTTTTTCTCTACATTGTTTTTTCTTTTTTTCTTATTTTCCTGCTCTTCCTCCTTCATCCCTCCTTCCCTCTTTTTTTCTATCTCTTCTCTCTCTCTCCCCGACCTTATGTTGTTCTTATTCTATTAAATATTTGTGAATAAGGTAGAGATATCATGTCACTGTAACCCAAAATACCTCAGCATTCACTTTCTGAGAGCCTGCAAATCCTCTTTTCTTAACTCTGGTACAGTTTTTTAAATCAGGAAATTTATTAATAGTACTAACATGCTATATTAATATACCATCTATTATTAGATTTCACCAGTTCTAATACTGTTCTTTATGTCCATTTCTTTCATCTTTCAGGACCTGGAAAAAAGATTCTGTATTGTGTTCAAGTGTCATGTTTCTCTAGTCTCATTTAATCTGGAGCAGTTTCTCATTCATTTTTGTCTTTTGATGACATCAGTATTCTTGAAAAATTATTGGCTCATAGTTTTTGAAAGATCTCTCAAATTTGAATTTTTTTTATGTTTCCTCCTGATTAGGTTTAGGTTATGCAAATTTGGCAAGAATATTTTATAACTTATGTCCGTCTACCTCAGTGATTCACAACAGGTGGAAAATGATATCATTTTATCCTATTATTAATGGCATTAATTTTGATCACTTGGTTCAGTTGATGTCCACTAGATTTATCCACTTTAAAGTTAACATTCCTTTGTAATTAGTAAATATTCTGTAGGCAAATCATTTGAAACTATGTAAATTTCCTATTTCTCATCAAACTTTTATGCTAGTAGTTTTAGCAGTTACAGGTGATTCTTAGGGAGAATCATTGGTGACTTTTCAAAATCTCTGTAATTGGTTACGCATATTAGTTGGTATTCTCGTAGGAGGAATTTGTGCATAATGGCTTGTGAGTAATGTTCAACAAAGTGTTTACTGAAAATACTTAGTGAAAAAATGAGATCACGGACAAGGCAGGGAAGAGTTAATTAAAGGGTTTAATGAAGTTTATGTCTAACTATGGAGTGAAATGGAGGTGGCAGGTAGAACTTTTTTAGAGCTGGTTGATGAAATGTATTCACATGGCAGAAGAAGAGCATGTTGTTTTGTTGTTGTTTTTTAAAGATTTTATTTATTTGACACAGAGAGAGAGAGCATGAGCAGGGAGAGTGGTAGGCAGAGGGAGAAGGAGAAGCAGACTCCCTTCAGAGCAGGGGGAGCCTGATGTGGGACTCGATCCCAGGACCCCAGAATCATGTCCTGAGCCGAAGGCAGTCGCTTAACCAGCTGAGCCACCCAGGCACTCGAGAAGAGCATGTTTTTAGCAATAAGTTCCAGCAAGGGAATATGACGGTGCCATCATTATTGGCAAGGTATTCAACGGTGGATTTTAAAATTTTTTTGAACTGTGAGGCATGGCAGTGGAGGCCAGGTTCAGATGCACCTGATATTTTATGCAGATGGTAAATCAATAGTGTTCCTCTTTTTGTTCTTCATTGCTTTAAGTTTCCATAACCCTTTACAGAGTTTGAGATTGATGGTGAAGGAACTTTATTTGAGGTGCTATCTAAAGATGAACACTCAGCTTTCGGAGTATTTTTTTTAAGATTTTATTTATTCATGAAAGACACAGAGAGAGAGAGAGAGAGGAAGAGGGAGAAGCAGTCTCCCCAAGGTTCAGGGACCCCGATGCGGGACTCGATCCCAGGACCCCGGGATCATGACCTGAGCCGAAGGCAGATGCTAAACCATCTGAGCCACCCAGGTGCCCCGCTTTCTGAGCTTTTATTCATGTTTTAACTTTCACTATTTCTCCAGCTCTGTGTGGCGCTGTCTGTGCCGATGATATGGATTGTGGCAGTGGTTATGTTGGCTAAAACCTATATACCCATGAAGTCTGTTCTATGTTCTCTGTAACCAGGGAATTTTAAGAAATCTACTCACAATCACAAATTTCATGCTATTTAAGGAAGGTTTCCAGAATGAAGAGGTTTTAAGCTTCCAAAAATGACTTAGTTGAATTGATGAAATGTTTTTAGTCATCTGAATATGATTTTCAAAGTCTAGCTCAGTTTTGCTGAAGTGCAGGCCACCTGATATGAATAGAAATGTCATACTAATTTATAAATTGTAAACTAAGGCAGTATATTTACAGAAGCATGGATATGGCCCAAGGCTTTGGATCCAAATGGTAATCTGAATACTCCCTGCTTCCCGTATCTAACTTTGTACTGTCTTTAGTGACAAGCTTGTTAGCAGAGGCTCAGTAAATGTTATCATTAAATGCATAGAGGAGAAAACAGAAGCAAGGCAAAAATTACTGATTGTAAACAAATGAAGTATCAACTAAATGAATATGCAAATAGGTAAATAAATAACCAGTGAAGAAAGCTGTCATGTGAAGAAGGCAAAACAGTTTAAGAAGGCAGCCAGGGTCCAAGAGAAGTCTGTATTGTATTAATATAAATATTGTTACTTTCATATATAACATAATAAGGGTATATTGGAAATTTTGAAATCTGCCTGGCTACAACACATCCTCCTCTCTTTTATGAGGCCAAATGTATCAGATTATTGTTTTGGTGTTGATGTGATTAAGACCAGTTTTATTACCAGATTCATAAATTGAGCCTCAAACCCTTACAATTTTCAATGATGTGAAGGGAGTTTTAAAAAAATAAATAGATCACAACAGGAGAGCATGTTACTATTTAATTATTCTCTGAGATGATAATAGAAACTGTGCTGCCAAAAACTTCTCGATACAGGAAAGTATCGAGTAGTAGTAGAGTAGTCCCAAAGAAAACAGCCTCTCAAATTTCAAATCTGAATGGAATCAATATGGCCCTACTCTGTAGAAGAAGGCAGGGGGGCAGTATAGCTGGGTCTTTTCATCAAGCAAGGCACTGTCAAGGTAGCAGCCCTTGAATTTGAAATAAGAATGCAAATGAGAATAAACACAAGGCTGACCTCACAACACTGAAGTCCCCTTAAAGAGAGGAGCGGTAATTACTGTAAAGTTTCTTCAATCACGGTGAAGCCTTTTCCTCCCAAAGGAAGTAGTGTGAAGTGACTAAGAAAAAAAATTTAAGAAGAAGATTGGAGTTTCTTTTCTCTCCTTGTCTCTTGAGTTTTGTTGCTTTGATAGATCATTTGCACAAAAATCCAGGCCTGTGGCTTTTCTGGTAATTGGTTTAATAGGATAGGACATTAAGTTAGTTCCAAGGAAAAACTATGCGATTGGTTAAAAATACTACAGTTATGACAGTTTGAAATAATTCTCTGCTATATTGTTCTATATAGTTCATCATATGAGATTATGTAACAGTCATGTTATCTTTATTTTCATTTTACCACAAAATAAATTCTAAAATTGATACATCATTTTTTTTCAGAAATTTTAGGCCCTAAGAAGTCCCTCCCATAATTTCTCATTCAACATTTTCTAAGGTAGAGTGTTCTCATTTAGTGCTTGGGGCAAGAATTATTGTCCTGTTCAATGGCTGTATTTTATTCATAATTAACATGCCAACTTCTTTCATTTTTTAAAAATTTCCAAATTTTGACTTCTATCATTCTTATATTTTCTATATTTTTATATAAACAAGTTATGTAAGATAAAGATCACTGTGAATAAAATACTAATGAGATAGCAAGACCTGGAATAAGAAGGCAAGGTACATGGTTATTTAAAAAGTCATATGAGGGCGCCTGGGTGGCTCAGTTGTTAAGCGTCTGCCTTCGGCTCAGGTCATGATCCCAGGGTCCTGGGATCGAGTCCCACATCGGGCTCCCTGCTCGGCAGGAAGCCTGCTTCTCCCTCTCCCACTCCCCCTGCTTGTGTTCCTGCTCTCTTTATCTCTCTCTCTGTCAAATAAATAAATAAAAATCTTTAAAAAACAAAAAATAAAAAAATAAAAAATAAAAAGTCATATGAAAGGTTTTGTACTGGGTTAATGCTATGGAAGTATTGAGAAGTAATGGGATTTAGGATGTATTTTGAAAGTATTGTCAGTCCTACTTGATAAAGTATTGAATGGTACTGGGTGAAACAAGAAGATTCAAATAGGATAGTATGATCAGGACCTCAGCAACTGAGAAAATGGTAATACCATTTACTATGCTAGGCAATGCTGATTTCCTCAAAATGCATGGTAAGAAATTGATCTGTTTTGCCAGTTTCATATTCATATTAAACCTATGGGTTAAGATGTTGAATTTTAATGTAGAAATAGGACTCAGACAGAAGCACAGGGTGTAAATTGGGGACTGGGATATTACTCTGGATGAGTCGGTACAGGCTGTTACTTATGGCCATGTGAAAGGTTGACATCTTGAGATGGTGTATACATGGGAGTAAGAATATATTCACCTTAAGACTGTGCCACCTCTAGAATTTAGATATTGAGTAAATGAGGAGAATTCATTAAAAGAGATTGTCAAGCGTGGCTAGAGTTACTGAATGAAAATTAAAGGATTTCATTGTTCCTGAAGGGAAGTGAATGAATTAAAAAATAATAATAATAATGGGTTAGCAGTTGGCTTTCACATGACATTGGAAGGCACAGTTAATTTTGGAAATAAAGAGAATGTCATTGATATTAAGTAAAAGTGCTGTGTGGTGGGGAGGGTAGGTAGTGCTTTTAATCAAAGGAGCCCTCTTGAGTCCACAATTTGCTCTGTAATATTGTTACCAGTGTCAACCTGGCACAGACAGATGCTGATGTGTTGTGAGTTGCTTGCATGAATCATAATAAAATGAAGATACATCTCAGTTGTACAATTTGAGATCCTTTTCAGTATTGCACATTATATGCATACGGGATAGAGCTGGTTGTCTTCATTATAACTACTCTGTCTTCCAGTAATTATCTTTGTGTGACTTTATCCATTGAGTTCCCACTTGCATTGTGTTGATTGGCTCCTACATCTATTGAACACAGTAGAATATTTCATTAAGGTAAAATTGCTTGCTAGTTCCAGAGGTCTTGTTTTTGTGAGATGTTGAGCAAAGACTGTTGAAGAAAGGAACAGGTGAGGAGCCAAGTGAAAGAAAAATTAACAGCCTAATCATGAACAAGTGAAAAGGCATGAAGAAAGGATGGTGTTACAAATCAAGTGAGTGAAGCAAGACAAAATGTACAGAAGGCAGAATTTTGAAGGAAAGAACTATAAGAACAAGGTCAAAGTGTGCTGAAGGTACATTTTAAATACTAGTTCTGTAGGATAATAAATGTAAATAACATCTCTACGGTCAAGGAGAAGATAAGAATGTGGAAGGTGATCTTTTTAAATTGAATCTGGAATAGTTCCATAAATTTATTATACATTTTCATTCCCTAATGTTTTAAGAATGAGTCTAGAAATTTTTTATCCAACCAGTCTGAATTATCACCATTTAATTTATATCATTCTTATGCCTCTAACATTTCAGTTACCAAATTTTCTTTTATTTATGTGTCTTAATAGACTAGAAATAATGAGCTCCTTTTGACAGGGATGTTTTCCTATTCATATTTAACTTTCCATTACCTTACAGAGCCTAGTATGTAGCAGATAATGTAATTTTATAATTGTGTTCACTAACATCTTGTTTAGTGTGTGGATGACTAAGATTTTGATGAATTATTCACTTAAAGGGCTAAGAAATTAAAATTTATAGAGACCCAATATGAGGCAGCTCCTTGAGGATATTTTCTGAGAATGTTTTGGCCATGACTGAGGAAATCATAGATTCTTTACACTCTGCTGTATTGGAAATTGCAAATGTAGATTATAGTATAGGGAAATTGAGTATCTGCTGGATTAGACTTTTTATGTTGAACATTATGGGTTGAGTTAAAAATTCCCATTGATAATTGTGGAGGAGTAGAATGCGGCCCTTGTTTTCTTTTCTGCTTATATGGCATGTACCACTGGTGTCCTTTTTTTCTACAGTGTTCCCTCATACAAAAATAATCCAGATAGGAAGCCTTATGGATGATAGACTTTTCCCTCTGGATAGAATGAACATGTTTTGTAGTATTTATCTTTTTGTGTGTAATCTGTCCTTAGAATACATTTATTTTCTATGTATTCTACACTTCTCTACTTTTAAAATTACCTTGGAAAAAATAAAATAAAATGACCTTGAAAGAGAAGAATTGTTCTTGGGGAGAGACTGTGGACAGGCCAATTTAATAACACATTAAGTTGTACAATATAGTCACTGATGGCATGCAATCATGGAAAGGAACAATATAGTACAGCCTATATGACTGATTTCAGTGAGACCATTCAGTGTCCCTATAATATTGTATTAATATTGCTGTCTTTGAATTTTCTAACTTTTAAAAATTATTCTTTTGTGTATCTATATGCGATTCTACCATGCTAAGTATGATGGGTAATTCCCAAAAGAGTATGTTAGTTATAACCATTTATTTGATCCAGTTCATTTGTTTAGTATTAAGATTCAAGGAGTCCTGAAGAGAAGTCTACTGACTAATGATGAATGAGAATGATATATATGTGTTTTAAATGGTAGTCCAGAAGAAACAATAAGGAAAAGAAGGAACTGTACATGAGCCTTTCTCGTTACTCTTAGGTTGGAAAGTCCAGAAGAGTAAGAACAATCACCTTTGTGGAGACTGTGAAGAGGTGAATACTGCCCTTTCAGTAAGGGCTGATCAAGTTGTCAGAAAGTGTTGATTTCTAGAAAGACAATGAAAACAATAGGTAAATAGGATCTGTATTCCTTGCTTTCCTTCTGGCTTTTAATCAGCTGTTCCAAGTAAGTTTAAGATATCTTCTGACTACATTACCTTTAGATTTCTTACCTTCAGTACCTTTAGAAAAGTACTGCTATTGGTTCAATTTGGAGGAGTGATAGATCCAACCAATGCCTTGTTAAATTGTGTCATTGGTTCATGATTATCATCATTCATAATACTATTGTGCACTGTCATTCCCTAACTAATGGTTTAGAAATACTTTTTCTAAGTAATCTCTATGTTCAACATGGGGCTTGAACTCATGACTCTGAAATCAAGAGTCATATACTGCACTGACTGAGCCAGCAGGAGCCCCAAGTCTAGAAATATTTTGTCCAGCCTGGACACCCACACCCATACCTCCCTTCCATTAGTGGAGAAAGTGCTGGTTTGGAGAGAGCATCTGAATGGATCCATTAATAAAATGGTAAATTTGAGATGAGACCATTGTTGAATGGCACCCAGATCTGAAGTGTCTCAGTATTGGTCAATATGCCTTAATGTAAATAGCTGCATTCATTGAATCCTATTTGCTTTGGCTCCCTACTTCCAACACTTAAGTGTTGTGTTTATATCCTTATCAATGCACACACCAATTTTGATTCCTTTTATGCCTGCTGTTCTGTCTCCCCCATACACACACACACACACACATAAAATGAGCTCCTACTTGACAGGGATTTTTTTTCTATTGTCTTATGCTGCAATATCTAAAAGTAAGAATTTCATTAAAGTTCAGAAATAAACAAATTTGTGAAAGAATGAGAGGTCATAAATAATGAGAGAGAATATAACAAAGGAATGAGTGATTCAGAGAGACAAGTGATATTATTTGAGTAATTTGAGAACCTCATGTTTGACAATGTTGAAAGAGAAGAACATAAAATTTAGTGATTTTTTTTTTTTTCTGAGACATAGACATGTAGATATTAACTCTGAGAATAAAATGGTTTACAGATCTTTCTCAACATGCAGTGGGGTTATGTACTGATAAACCTATCATAATTTGAAAATGTTGTAAGTTGAAAATGCATTTAATACACCCAACATACCAACATACCATCATAGCTTAGCCTACCCTATCTTAAACATGCTCAGAACATTTACATTAGCCTCAATTGGTCAAAATCATCTAACACAAAGCCTATTTTTTATAATAAAATGTTGACTCATGTAATTTGTTGATTACTGAAAGTGAAAAACAGGATGGTTATATAGGTATAGAGTGGTTATAATTTATCAATTTTTTACCCTAATGATCCTCTGGATGACTAGGAGCTGCTACTTGCTCCCTCTGCCTAGAATCACAAGAGAGTATCATACTGTATGTCACTAGCCCTGGAAAAGATTACAATTCAGTATTTTAAATTCAGTTCTACTGAGTATGTACCACTTTTAAGCAACATAAAGTCAAAAAATTGTACGTCAAACCATCATAAGTCAGGGATGTCTGTATTTAAAAATAGTGGATAAAACCCATTAAACATGTCTGAATTTGCTACATGAGAACAGGATTATTCTTTGGGCCTCCCTTCTAAGTATGTTCCATGTGCATGTTGTATAATTCTATTTTAGCATTGGCACTTGGCTAACTCTTGAATTTATGCAGGGAAGGGAGAGGGCCAGTACTGATACCACTTTGGGTCTGTCTTCAGGTTTATTGTGATGCAAGGGAAATGCTCTCTTTGTTGCCTATGGAAATATAAGGGCTTAGTTGTGTCAGTTGCTACTGCTTAAAAAATCTTCCTAAATTTTTGTCAGTTTTATTGAGATATAACTGACATACATAATTGTAAGATCTTTAAAGTATGATATGAAATTGTAAGATCTATAAAGTGATAGAGATGATTTGATATATATAATACACACATATATATACATATATATGTATGTTATATAACACAAACATATACACATATGTGTATATGTGTATATAGATGTTCTAATTAACATGTATATATATACACATGTATATATATAGTATATACACATACACACAATGTGAAAGGATTTTCCCCATCAAGTTAATGAAAACATCTACACCTCACATATTTGCTTTTCTTTTTTTGGTGAGAATATTTAAATTCTACTCTCTTAACAAATGCAATGTTACAAATTATAGTCACCATATTTTGTATTAGATCCTCAGATGTCCTTCATCTTATAATTGAAACTTCATACCCTTTCCCAACCTCTCCCTATTTACCACATCCCCAAGCCCCTGGAAACTGCTTTTCTACTTTGCTTATGAGGTTGACTTTTTTTTTGTAAAAAGATTTCTCATGTAAGTGATTCCATGCAGTATTTGATTTGTCTTTCTAGCTGGCTTATTTCATTTAGCATAATGACCTCCAGGTTCATCCATGTTGTCACAGAAGAGAAGATTTCTTTGTTTTTAAGGGTTAATGACAGTCCATTATATTATAATAAAATATTACATAATCACAATTATGTATTATAAATTACATATAATTATAATTTAATCCATTTTATCTATATTTATCTATCTTATATATACACACCATTTTTCCTTATTGACTCATTTATTAACAGACACATAAGTTGTTTCCATATATTGGCTACTATGAATAATGCTGCTGTGAAAATGGGAGTACAGCTACCTCTTCAAGATAATTTTATTTCCTTTGTATGTATACCCAAAAGTGGGATTGCTGGTTGATGTAGTAGTTCCATTTTAATTTCTTGAGAAATTTGCATACTGTTTTCCAAGTGGGTGTACCAATTTATATTCCCACTAATAGTGTACAAGGGTTCCCTATTCTCTTCATTGTCACCAGCATTTATCTCATGTCTTGTTTTTTTTAATTTAAAAATTTATTTACTTTAGAAAGAGAGAGAGGAAGCGTGCACACCTGTGACAGTGGGGAGAGGGGTAGAGGGTGAGAATCGTCAAGCAGACTCCTTGCTGAGCGCAGAGCCTGACTTGGGGCTCTATCTCATAACTCATGAGATCATGACCTGAGCCAAAACCAAGAGTCAGAAGCTTAATCAACTGAGTCACCCAGGTGCCACTGATGTCTTATTAATAATAGAACTCCTAGGAGGTGACAGGTAATATCACATTGTGGTTTTGATTTGCATTTCCCTCATGATTAGTGATGTTGAACACCTTTATATGTGCCTGTTGAACATTTGTATGTCTTTGGAAGACAAAGGTCCTTGCCCATTTTTAAATTGGGTTATTTGTTTGTTTTGTTATTGAGTTCTAGGAGTTCCTTGTATATTTTGGCTATTAACCCCTTATCAGATATGTGGTTTGCAAATATTTTCTCTCATTATATAGGTTGCCTTTTCATTTTGTTGATGACTTCCTTTGCTGAGCAGGAGCTATTTAGTTTGATGTAGCCTCAGGTGAAATCCAAAAAATTATTGCCAAGACCAATGTCAAGGACCTGTCTCTATGGAGTTTTATGATTTCATGTCTTATATTCAAGTTGTTAATCCATCTTGAGTTAATTTTTTTGTGTGTATTGTGTACAATAGGGGTCTAGTTTTATTTCATTTTATTTTCTTATATGTGGCTGTCCAGGATTTCAATACAATTTACTGAAGATACTATTCTTTCCTTCTTGTGTATTCTTGGCTTCTTTGTTGAAAATTAATTGACCAAAGCTGAATGGATTTATGTCTGGTCTCTCTATGTTGTTCTATTGATCTATGTATCTGTTTTTATACTATACTGTTTTGATTACTATATCTTTGTAATATAGTTTGAAATCAGGAAGTGTGATACCTCTGCCTTTGTTCTTTCTCAAGATGGCTTTGACTGACCAGGGTCTCTTCCGGTCTCACAAAAATTTCAGAACTTTTTCCTACTTTTTAAAAAAATTCCATTGGAATTTTTATAGAGATTTAATTTAAACTGTGGATTGCTTGTATTATGACCATTTTTTTAAAAAGATTTTATTTATTTATTTGACAGAGAGAGAGACAGCGAGAGAGGAAACACAAGCAGGGGGAGTGGGAGAGGGAGAAGCAGGCCTCCTGCCGAGCAGGGAGCCTGATGCGGGGCTTGATCCCAGGACCCTAGGATCATGACCTGAGCCGAAGGCAGACGCTTAACGACTGAGCCACCCAGGTGCCCCTAGTATGACCATTTTAACTATTAATTCTTCCAATCCATAAAGACAGAATATTTCTTTCATTAATTTCTTTCACTAATGTCTTGTAGGTTTCAGTGAACAGATCTTTCACCTCCTTGCTTAAATTTATTCCTAAGTATTTTATTATTTTTGATGCTATTATAAATTATATTATTTTCTTAATTTCTCTTTTCAAAAGTTTATTGTCAGTGTATAGAAACAAGTGATTTTTATGTATTGATTTTTTGTGTCCTGTAACTTTACTGAAATTGTTTATTACGTCTAATGGTTCTTTGTTGGGAGTCTTTGGAGTTTTCTATATATAACATGTCATCTGCAAATAGTGACAGTTTTATTTTTTTTCTTTCTGATCTGGATTCCTTTTATTTCTTTTTCTTGCCTAATTGCATTGTTTGGGACTTCCAGTAGTGTTGAATAAAAGTGGCAAGAGTGGGCATCCTTTGTTTTGTTCCTGATCTTAGAGGGAAAGCTTTCAGCTTTTTTTTACTTTTGAGTATGATGCTAGCTGTGGGTGTGTCATACATGGCTTTTATTATGTTGAGATATATTTCCTCTAAAATTGAGAGATTTTATCATGTTGAGAGATTTTATCATGAACAGATGTTGATTTTTAAAAATTATTTAAAAATTCTATGATTTTTATTCTTCATTTTGTTTATGTGGTGTATTTCATATTTATTGATTTGCAGATGCTGAACTACCTTGCATCTCTGGAATAAATCCTATTTGATGGTCTATGATCTATGGTCTTAAGATCATTTTAATGTATTGTTGAATTGGTTTGCTAATATTTTGTTGAGAATTTTTACATCTGTGTTGATCAGGGATATCAGCCTATAATTTTCTTTTCATGTGTGTCCTTGTCTGGTTTTGGTATTAGGGTAATGCTGGCTTCATAAAATGAGTTTGGGAGTGTTCCCTTATCTTCTATTTTTGGGGAATATTTTAAGAAGCATTGATTACTTCTTACTTAAATGTTTGTTAGAATTTTACTAATGAAACCATCTGGTCCTGGACTTTCTTTGTTGGGGAATTTTTGATTACTGATTCAGCCTCCTTACTGGTAGTTAATCTGTTCAGATTTTCTATTTCTTCATGATTCAGTCTTCATAGGTATTATGTTTTTAGGAATTTGTCCATTTCTAATGGATTATCCAGTTTGGTGGTATACATTGTTAAAGTAGTCTCTTATGATTATTTTAATTTCTGTTTATTAGCCATTATGTCTCCTCTTTCATTTATAATTTTGAGTCTTTTTTTTTCTTGGTAAGTCTAGCCAAAGGTTTTTTGTTTGTTTTTCTATTTTGGTTATTTGGTTATCTTTTCACAAAAACTATATCTTAGTTTCATTGAGGTTTTCTATTGTTTTTGTAGTCTCTATTGATTTCTGCTCTAATCTTTGTTATTTCTTTCCTTTTGTTAACTTTTGGCTTAGTTCTTTTTCTTGTTGCTTGAGGTGTGAAGTTTGCTTATTTGAGACCTTTTTTTTTCTTAATGTAGGTGTTTATCACAATAAAGTGCCCTCTTAAAACTGATTTTGCTGCATATTTAAGTTTTTATATGTTGTTTTTGATTTTTTCTTTGAGATATTGATTTTTCTGGAACATACTGTTTAATCTCTATATATTTGTGTATTTTTCAGTTTCCTTGTAATTGATTCTCATTTCATACCATTGTGGAGAAAAGCTGTTTAATATGGTTTCAATCTTCTTTTTACTTAAAATTTTTTTCAATTTGAATTCAATTTAATTAACATATACTATATTATTTCAGAGGTAAAATTTAGTGATTCTTCAGTTGCATATAACACCCTGAGCTTATTACTTTAAGTGCCCTTGTTAGTGCCCATCACCCAATTACCCTATCCCCCTCACGTCCCCTCAAGCAACCCTCAGTTTGTTTCCTATAGTTAGTAGTCTCATGGTTTGACCTCCTCTGTTTTCATCTTATTTTATTTTTTCCTTCATATCTTATTTTATTTTTCCTATGTTCATCTGTTTTGTTTCTTAAATTCCACATGAGTGAAATCATACGATTTTTTCTTTCTCTGACTTATTTCACTTAGCATAATACTTTCTAGTTCCATCCACACCTTTGCAAATGACAAGATTTCATTATTTTGATGGCTGAATAATATTCCATGGTATATACATACCACTTCTTTATCTGTTCATCTGTTGATGGACATCTGGGCTCTTTCTATATTTTGGCTATTGTGGACATTGCTGCTATAAACAATCTTCTTAAATATATTAAGACTTATTTTGTAGTCTGATATCTGTCCTAGAAAATGTTCCATGTTCACTTGAGAACAATTTGTATTTTGCTGCTTTTAGTTAAAATCTTATGTATATGTCTAGAGTACATATGGTCCAATAAGTAGTTTAAATTCAGTGTTTCCTTATTGATTTTGCATCTGGATGACATATCTCTTGTTGAAAATAGATTATTGAAGTTCCCTGTTAATATTGTATTGTCATATATTCCTCCTTTTCAATCTGTCAATATTTGCTTTATGTATTTAGGTGTTAATTGGGTGTATAAATATTGACAGTTGTCATATCCTCTTAATTGATCCCATTATCATTGTATAATGACTTTTATGTCTCTTCTTACAGTCTTTGGCTTAAAGTCTATTTTTTTCTGATATAAGTATTGCTACCCCTGCATTATTTTGGTTTCTATTTGCATGGAATATCTCTTTCCATCCCTTCACTTTATTTCCATGTATGTCCTTAAT